AACCGTCGATTCTGGAAAAACGGTTGCAGCTATCAAAGAATCGAGGCCGGAAGTGAGTTCTAGGGCTCGAAATCTACAAGAAAATTTACTCAGTTAGGTTTCGAAAATGTCAAAATTTCGGCGAAATTTGAAGAAGGGGGGACCATTGGAAAATTTTCACTTTTAGAAAAGTCGTCTAAAAATTCTGAAAAAATTCAAGGACGTAGATCTCGACGTGCTGATTCCAAAAATATAGCCTGTTAATGGTCGCGGAGCGACATTTTCGAAGAAATCGGTACGAAATGCCTAATTTATCAAAATTTCAAAAATTTCGATATTTCAACCGTCGATTCTGGAAAAACGGTTGCAGCTATCAAAGAATCGAGGCCGGAAGTGAGTTCTAGGGCTCGAAATCTACAAGAAAATTTACTCAGTTAGGTTTCGAAAATGTCAAAATTTCGGCGAAATTTGAAGAAGGGGGGACCATTGGAAAATTTTCACTTTTAAAAAAGTCGTCTAAAAATTCTGAAAAAATTCAGGGACGTAGATCTCGACGTGCTGATTCCAAAAATATAGCCTGTTCATGGTCGCGGAGCGACATTTTCGAAGAAATCGGTCCGAAATGCCTAATTTATCGAAATTTCAAAAATTTCGATATTTCAACCGTCGATTCTGGAAAAACGGTTGCAGCTATCAAAGAATCGAGGCCCGAAGTGAGTTCTAAGGCTCGAAATATACAAGAAAATGTACTCAGTTAGGTTTCGAAAATGTCAAAATTTCGGCGAAATTTGAAGAAGGGGGGACCATTGGAAAATTTTCACTTTTAAAAAAGTCGTCTAAAAATTCTGAAAAAATTCAAGGACGTAGATCTCGACGTGCTGATTCCAAAAATATAGCCTGTTAATGGTCGCGGAGCGACATTTTCGAAGAAATCGGTACGAAATGCCTAATTTATCGAAATTTCAAAAATTTCGATATTTCAACCGTCGATTCTGGAAAAACGGTTGCAGCTATCAAAGAATCGAGGCCGGAAGTGAGTTCTAGGGCTCAAAATCTACAAGAAAATTTACTCAGTTAGGTTTCGAAAATGTCAAAATTTCGGCGAAATTTGAAGAAGGGGGGACCATTGGAAAATTTTCACTTTTAAAAAAGTCGTCTAAAAATTCTGAAAAAATTCAGGGATGTAGATCTCGACGTGCTGATTCCAAAAATACAGCCTGTTAATGGTCGCGGAGCGACATTTTCCAAGAAATCGGTACGAAATGCCTAATTTATCGAAATTTCAAAAATTTCGATATTTCAACCGTCGATTCTGGAAAAACGGTTGCAGCTATCAAAGAATCGAGGCCGGAAGTGAGTTCTACGGCTCGAAATCTACAAGAAAATGTACTCAGTTAGATTTCGAAAATGTCAAAATTTCGGCGAAATTTGAAGAAGGGGGGACCATTGGAAAATTTTCACTTTTAAAAAAGTCGTCTAAAAATTCTGAAAAAATTCAGGGATGTAGATCTCGACGGGCTGATTCCAAAAATATAGCTTGTTCATGGTCGCGGAGCGACATTTTCGAAGAAATCGGTACGAAATGCCTAATTTATCGAAATTTCAAAAATTTCGATATTTCAACCGTCGATTCTGGAAAAACGGTTGCAGCTATCAAAGAATCGAGGCCGGAAGTGAGTTCTACGGCTCGAAATCTACAAGAAAATGTACTCAGTTAGGTTTCGAAAATGTCAAAATTTCGGCGAAATTTGAAGAAGGCGGGACCATTGGAAAATTTTCACTTTTAAAAAAGTCGTCTAAAAATTCTGAAAAAATTCAAGGACGTAGATCTCGACGTGCTGATTCCAAAAATATAGCCTGTTAATGGTCGCGGAGCGACATTTTCGAAGAAATCCGTACGAAATGCCTAATTTATCGAAATTTCAAAAATTTCGATATTTCAACCGTCGATTCTGGAAAAACGGTTGCAGCTATCAAAGAATCGAGGCCGGAAGTGAGTTCTAGGGCTCGAAATCTACAAGAAAATTTACTCAGTTAGGTTTCGAAAATGTCAAAATTTCGGCGAAATTTGAAGAAGGGGGGACCATTGGAAAATTTTCACTTTTAAAAAAGTCGTCTAAAAATTCTAAAAAAATTCAGGGACGTAGATCTCGACGTGCTGATTCCAAAAATATAGCCTGTTAATGGTCGCGGAGCGACATTTTCGAAGAAATCGGTACGAAATGCCTAATTTATCGAAATTTCAAAAATTTCGATATTTCAACCGTCGATTCTGGAAAAACGGTTGCAGCTATCAAAGAATCGAGGCCGGAAGTGAGTTCTAGGGCTCGAAATCTACAAGAAAATTTACTCAGTTAGGTTTCGAAAATGTCAAAATTTCGGCGAAATTTGAAGAAGGGGGGACCATTGGAAAATTTTCACTTTTAGAAAAGTCGTCTAAAAATTCTGAAAAAATTCAAGGACGTAGATCTCGACGTGCTGATTCCAAAAATATAGCCTGTTAATGGTCGCGGAGCGACATTTTCGAAGAAATCGGTACGAAATGCCTAATTTATCAAAATTTCAAAAATTTCGATATTTCAACCGTCGATTCTGGAAAAACGGTTGCAGCTATCAAAGAATCGAGGCCGGAAGTGAGTTCTAGGGCTCGAAATCTACAAGAAAATTTACTCAGTTAGGTTTCGAAAATGTCAAAATTTCGGCGAAATTTGAAGAAGGGGGGACCATTGGAAAATTTTCACTTTTAAAAAAGTCGTCTAAAAATTCTGAAAAAATTCAGGGACGTAGATCTCGACGTGCTGATTCCAAAAATATAGCCTGTTCATGGTCGCGGAGCGACATTTTCGAAGAAATCGGTCCGAAATGCCTAATTTATCGAAATTTCAAAAATTTCGATATTTCAACCGTCGATTCTGGAAAAACGGTTGCAGCTATCAAAGAATCGAGGCCCGAAGTGAGTTCTAAGGCTCGAAATATACAAGAAAATGTACTCAGTTAGGTTTCGAAAATGTCAAAATTTCGGCGAAATTTGAAGAAGGGGGGACCATTGGAAAATTTTCACTTTTAAAAAAGTCGTCTAAAAATTCTGAAAAAATTCAAGGACGTAGATCTCGACGTGCTGATTCCAAAAATATAGCCTGTTAATGGTCGCGGAGCGACATTTTCGAAGAAATCGGTACGAAATGCCTAATTTATCGAAATTTCAAAAATTTCGATATTTCAACCGTCGATTCTGGAAAAACGGTTGCAGCTATCAAAGAATCGAGGCCGGAAGTGAGTTCTAGGGCTCAAAATCTACAAGAAAATTTACTCAGTTAGGTTTCGAAAATGTCAAAATTTCGGCGAAATTTGAAGAAGGGGGGACCATTGGAAAATTTTCACTTTTAAAAAAGTCGTCTAAAAATTCTAAAAAAATTCAGGGACGTAGATCTCGACGTGCTGATTCCAAAAATATAGCCTGTTAATGGTCGCGGAGCGACATTTTCGAAGAAATCGGTACGAAATGCCTAATTTATCGAAATTTCAAAAATTTCGATATTTCAACCGTCGATTCTGGAAAAACGGTTGCAGCTATCAAAGAATCGAGGCCGGAAGTGAGTTCTAGGGCTCGAAATCTACAAGAAAATTTACTCAGTTAGGTTTCGAAAATGTCAAAATTTCGGCGAAATTTGAAGAAGGGGGGGGGACCATTGGAAAATTTTCACTTTTAAAAAAGTCGTCTAAAAATTCAGGGACGTAGATCTCGACGTGCTGATTCAAAAAATATAGCCTGTTAATGGTCGCGGAGCGACATTTTCGAAGAAATCGGTACGAAATGCCTAATTTATCGAAATTTCAAAAATTTCGATATTTCAACCGTCGATTCTGGAAAAACGGTTGCAGCTATCAAATAGTCGAGGCCGGAAGTGAGTTCTACGGCTCGAAATCTACAAGAAAATGTACTCAGTTAGGTTTCGAAAATGTCAAAATTTCGGCGAAGTTTGAAGAAGGGGGGACCATTGGAAAATTTTCACTTTTAAAAAAGTCGTCTCAAAATTCTGAAAAAATTCAGGGACGTAGATCTCGACGGGCTGATTCCAAAAATATAGCTTGTTAATGGTCGCGGAGCGACATTTTCGAAGAAATCGGTACGAAATGCCTAATTTATCGAAATTTCAAAAATTTCGATATTTCAACCGTCGATTCTGGAAAAACGGTTGCAGCTATCAAAGAATCGAGGCCGGAAGTGAGTTCTACGGCTCGAAATCTACAAGAAAATGTACTCAGTTAGGTTTCGAAAATGTCAAAATTTCGGCGAAATTTGAAGAAGGGGGGACCATTGGAAAATTTTCACTTTTAAAAAAGTCGTCTAAAAATTCTGCAAAAATTCAGGGATGTAGATCTCGATGGGCTGATTCCAAAAATATAGCTTGTTCATGGTCGCGGATCGACATTTTCGAAGAAATAGGTACGAAATGCCTAATTTATCGAAATTTCAAAAATTTCGATATTTCCACCGTCGATTCTGGAAAAACGGTTGCAGCTATCAAAGAATCGAGTCCGGGAGTGAGTTCTACGGCTCGAAATCTACAAGAAAATGTACTCAGTTAGGTTTCGAAAATGTCAAAATTTCGGCGAAATTTGGACCATTGGAAAATTTTCACTTTTAAAAAAGTCGTCTAAAAATTCTGAAAAAATTCAGGGACGTAGATCTCGACGTGCTGATTTCAAAAATATAGCCTGTTGATGGTCGCGGAGCGACATTTTCGAGGAAATCGGTAGGAAATGCCTAATTTATCGAAAATTTCAAAAATTCTACCAATTCTACCAATTCCAGACAAAATTTGATACTTAACAGAAATACTAATTGTTGATAATGTAAAATTTGGCAAAATCTAATTTTAGAATTTTTCAACGAAGCGGGATTTGTATTGTACTTCAGGGGCGAGGAAAATTCTCTCCAAATTCGAAATAAATTTCGAACACATTTTCATTTAATACCGGGATTAATGGACATTCATAATCTGTCATTCCTTGACCTAGTTACAAATATAAAATCCCCAAAAACTTTTCGAGGTTATGTTTTTATTTTACCAGCGAAAAAAGCCAAATAACATGGTATTTGTAACTAACCCCCCACAAAAACCTACCCTCTTAACAAAACTAATAGTTTTTAGCATAAAACACCCATGGCTTCGCCACGCAGCTCCCTCAGAGACCAACTAATGCACACCAATGGAACCAGCCCCCACGAAACCATCACCATAATAGTTCCCAGCCTCTTCTACACAACAATCACCACCATCATCGTGTCGCTGCTAAAAACAAAAATCGAAAACCTACCCCTCCAGTTCTGCATCGAATTCGCCACTCTCGTGCTCCCCATAATCCTCAACGTGACAGTTTTAGCCGACCACAACCTCGAAGTACTAACAACCTCCTTCATAATATGTCTCAGCGTGCTCTTCTGTCTCCTACCATTCAAACCTCACTCCCCCAAGTCAGACGTCCCCCAAACCCCCGACTTAATCACCAACAGCCGCTCCACAATCAACATAATCTCCGTGGTGGCAATCCTCGCCGTCGATTTTCTGATTTTCCCCCGCCGCTTCGCCAAAACTGAGACATTCGGCCATAGTTTGATGGACGTGGGGGTGGGTTTGTTCGTGTTTTCGAACGGAATCGTCGACGGGGGGAAAACCGACCTAGGGAAAGCGCTGAAAGGGTCCATCCCGTTGTTTGTTCTAGGGGGCACCCGCTTCGTCGTCACCCGACAAATCGACTATCACGTCCCCGTGTCCGAATACGGGGTTCACTGGAATTTCTTCATCACTCTAGCCGTGACGAAAATTTTCGTATCCTTGATTTTCACTGTCGTAAACGTGCGGTTTATTTGGATAAACGCCACGTTGTTGATGATTTCGCACGAAGTTTTGCTTCAGAGCGGACTGGCCAATTTCGTCATGAAGAACACGAAGAGGAAGGATTTTGTTTCGGCTAACAAGGAAGGTTTGGTGTCGAGTGTGGGCTACGTTTATTTGTACTTGTTTTCGGCCTATTTTAGTTATTTCGTTGGTTTGAAGAGAGGCAAGGGGCGTCGCAAAACCTCGATTTTAAAATTTGTTTTGTGTGCGTTGGTAACACTGGTGGGGTCGATGATTTGTCAAAATTATTTCGGAATTTCGCGCAAGTTGGCCAACCCGGCGTACTGTTTTTGGGTTTTGTTTATAGGGACTTTCATGACGGGACTTTATTATGTTTTTGGGAGACTTCTAGAGGACGTTTTGGGGTCCAAGTTGCACGTAAGGGTTCAGTTGCCTTTTATTTTCCGAGCGATCAATTACAACGGGTTGACGTTTTTTCTTGTTAGTAATTTATTAACGGGAGTAGTGAATATGGTCTGTGATACACTGGCAGTTGGCACCACTGCTAGTTTAGTGATTATTTGCGTCTACATGTTTATCAACTGTTCGACAGTTTGTGTTCTGTATAAGAAACAGATGAAGTTAAAATTTTAGATTTTATTGTAATTTTTACGAAGTTATAGAATAATTTATGTAAAAAAATGTATACAAAATTAAGTGTCATATTAGTCACAAATAAAACGTCACATTAGTAACGGTTAAATTCGTTAAAGTGCGAACTTTTCCCCTCCACTATGGCAGAGATACCATGGGTTCCCTGAAAAGTAAAAGTGGTTTCAATCAGCACTACCACACAACCGAAAAACTCTAGCAGACCTTGAAATTTGTTTTTAAAATAATGATGTTGGCATTACAAAAGGTGTTGCCAACATCATTTTTTTAACATTAAATTTCAAAGCCCACTAGACATTTTTATATCAGTTTGCTGTCATTAAATTAAATCAAATTAAATTAATAAAATGGTCACGACGTAACTTAAACCACTTATATTTTTAGCTTCAGATTACTACAGACAAAAATTAGATTTTGTGTTAAGTGTGTATTTTATTTATTTTTTATTTAAACCAAAAACCCAAGAACTCAAATCCAATAATTCCAAAAAATGAAAAGTACTAAAAATATCCAAAAAAAGTCAAAAAGTCGCCAAAATATTGAAAATATTAAAAAACTTAAAAATATCCAAATATCAAAAATTTTAAATATCCAAAAAATCGGGGAAGAAAAAATATCAAAAAAATCCGAAAAATGGAATTAATCCAAAAAATTAGAAAAAAAAAAACAAAGAAACAAAAATGTAAAAAATCCATACAATTCGAAAAATCAAAGAAAAATCCAAAAATTTTTGAAGATCAAGAAACCCAATAATTCCAGCAATCCAAAGAGCGAAAAACAACCCAAAAAAAGCCCAAAAGATTCAAAAATCTAAAAAGTGGGAAATAGTTCAAACATCTAAATAATCAGAGATTTAAAAAAAATCGAAGAATTAAAATTATCCGAGTAATCGAAAAAATTAAGTAATTACAAAAAAATTCGGTTAAATAACAAAAAATCTAAAAAACCCAAGAAATCCAGTTATTCCAAAAAAATGGAGAAAACAAAAATTCATAATTCCAAAAATCTCCAAAACTCAAGAAACAAACCCTATTTTAGGTGAAAAAAATCCAAAAAAATACGAAATATGCGAAAGTTCTGAAAAATTAAAAAACCCAAGGAATGCAAGAAAACCAAAAACATAAGAAATCCGATGATTCACGAAATTGTAAAAATTCCAAAAAATCAAAGAATTTAAAAAATCCAGAAATGCAATAATCCAAAAAATTCAAAAAGTCGAAGATCTAAAAAAAATGCAAAAAACAAAAAACTTCAGAAATCCAATATTTCCGAAAATCTAAGAAAGAATGATCCAAGAAAAAAGAAAGAATTTAAAAAATCCAAAAATGCAATAAACTCAAGAGATCCAAAATTGGCAACAATTTCAAGAATACAAGAAACAAATCCTAAAGTGAAGAAAAATCCAAAAAAATTCAAAAAACAAGGGACTCGCGAAATCCAAGAATCCAAAATATTGAAAATTTCCAAAAATTTTTAAAATATCCAAATATCAAAATTTTAGAAATCGGAAAATCCAAAAAATCGTGGAACAAGAAAAAAATTATCCAAAAAATCGGAAAAATTGAATTAATCCAAAAAATTAAAAACAAACAAAAAAATTCAAACAACTCAAAAAATCGAAGAATTCAAAGAATTCAAAAAATCAAAAATTTTTTAAATCTAAGAAACCCAATAATTTCAGCAATCCAAAGAATGAAAAGCATACCAAAAAAATTAAAAAACCCAAAAATTTCAAGAAACGTAAGAAACGCAAAAAATTCAAGACATCCAATAATGCCAAAAGTCTAAAAAATGGAAAATAGTACAAAAATCTAAAAAATCAGAGAATAAAAAAATCAAAAAATTTAAATCATCCAAGTAATCCAAAAAAATTAAGTAAATCCAAAAAAGTCGGATATATAGCAAAAAAATCCAAAAAACCCAAGAAATCCAGAAATTCCAAAAAATTAAAAGAACAAAAAATTCATAATTTAACAAAAAATGTAAAAAATCCAAAAATTAAAAAAATCGAGATAATTCAAAAAAATTAAAAATATCCAAAACTCAAGAAACGAATCTTATTTAAGGTAAAAAATCCAAAAAGATCCACAAAATTACGAAAAATGCGAAAGATCCGAAAAATAAAAAAACCCCCAAGAAATGCGAGAAACTCAAAAGCACAAGAAATCCAAAGATCCACGAAATTTTAAAAATTCCAAAAAATCAAAGAATTTACAAATTCAGAAATGCACGAAACTCAAGAAATCCAAAAAATTTAAAAAGTCGAAGATCTAAAAATCAAACTTCAGAAATCCAATTTCCGAAAATCTAAAAAATGTAAGCTAGCTCAAAAATAAAAAAATCCAAAAAAAATTAAAAAAATAAAAATTGTTATCCAAGAGACCGAAAAAATAAATACATAAATCCAAATAAAATCGGGAAAAAACCAAAACATTCTAAAAAATTGGTCTAAAGAGTTTAGACAGTACTTCCCTCGCTGTCGGAAACTTGACGACTGCATGGCTATTGTGTTTTTTTCTCATTACATTTTTGTAGTGGGAATTTAAAAAAAATTGCGATGACGTCATCAACATTTTTGCAAGGACACGTATATCAGTTGGGATAGATGTAGTGTAATACTAAGAATAAAATTATTGTATTCCCAAATTTTCGGGAAAATGAATTGGGTCGTTTTGAATATTGATTTTTTATAATCAATAAAATAACGAAACAATTTACTCACGTATACGGCAACTGAAAATCGTTTATGTATAAACATTCTTAATTTAAGATGACAAGTGTAACAGCATACGTGAGAGTCATTTTATTGCTTCGACTTCCGCTTATTATATAAAACATTGGGTTTTATTTTAATTCTTGACGGTGAAATTCACAATTGGTTGATTATAAACATGTCTATTTCACATTCGCGGAATCAAGTGAGCGCATAAAACAAATGCAGGTCTGTAATGTTAAAGTCGATGTAAATAAGCGTGCTACCCTTATGTTTCAACCGAGTTTTTCCTTTAACAAATTTTGTGTCTACCAAATTGGGTTGGTTGGGGTGTAATACTAATAATAAGTGTTGCCTTTAATTTAATCAATAAAATAAATTGACTTCATTAATTTTTTTGAACCACCTCTTAAGAAAATCTAAAAAATATGAATAGAATGATAAATCTCAAGTACAAACTCATCATATTTTTTGCATTTTAGATAGGATTTATTCAGCAAAATTTAAGGGTGACGTCATCAATTTTTTTAGGAGGGATGAACAAATACATTTTGAACAAAAGTTTACCATGCTTATAATAACTTTAAAATATTCCCAAGATTTCAAAGCATTCGGTTTTGTAATTCCTGATTAAATCGATAAAATAAATTCACGCCTTCATTAATTTTTTTGAGTCACCCTGCATATGCAAATCCAAAAATATGAATGGAATGATAAATCACAAGTACAGACTCATCATATTTTGTACATTTTAGATACGATTTATTCGGCAAACTTTCGAGCTGACGTCATCAAGTTTTTGGAGGGGATAAGCAAATATATTTTGACTAAACATTTATTATGCTCTTTATGACCTTAAAACATCTGCAAGATTTCAGAGCATTCGGTTTTGTAGTTCCTGATTAAATCAATAAAATATATTTACGCATTCATTAATTTTTTTGAGTCACCCTGTATATGCAAATCCAAAAAATATGAATGGAGTGATAAATTACAAGTACAGACTCATCATATTTTTACAGTTTGGATAGGATTTATTCGGCAAACTTTCGAGCTGACGTCATCAATTTTTTGGAGGGGATAAGCAAATATATTTTGACTAAACATTTATTATGCTCTTTATAACCTTAAAACATCTGCAAGATTTCAAAGCATTCGGTTTTGTAGTTTCTGAGTAAATCAGTAAAATAAATTTACGCATTCATTAATTTTTTTGAGTCACCCTGTATATGCAAATCCAAAAAATATGAATGGAGTGATAGATCACAAGTACAGACTCATCATATTTTGTACATTTTAGATATGATTTATTCCACAAACTTTTGAGCTGACGTCATCAAGTTTTTGGAGGGGATAAGCAAATATTTTTTGACTAAAGATTTATGATGCTCTTTATAGCCTTAAAACATCTGCAACATTTCAAAGCATTCTGGTTAGCAGATTAAAAATTAAATTTCAAAATGTTGTTTTATAATTTTGATTTTTTTTCCAAAAATCTGGACGTTTCGGGTGAAAAGTCGATTCAGAGTTGTAAACTACATGTGTAGGACTATGTTATTTTATACAATTGAAAACCCATTTAGTATGTACAATTTTGAAGTGACGTCATCGCATTAGTGGTGGGGATGATTAGACAAATTTTGGTTAGCGTTTTACCATCTACATGATATTCTTAATATAAGTACAAAATTTCACAACAATCGGTCGAGTACTTTCGGAGATTATCTGTCTAATAAAAATCCGGGACGGCAGACGGACGGACAGACGGACGGACAGACGGACAGACGGACAGACGGACAGACGGACAGACGGACAGACGGACAGACAGACGGAAATGGGAGACCTATTTCTTCGTCTTCTAGGGGTCATGAAAGATCGAGAAAACGTAAAAGTAGAGAGTCGACCGACGAACTCGATTACAATACTTCCTTTGCTTACGCTCGGGAAGTAAAAAGCCAAAAAAATCCTAAAGAGCCAAACAAAACACGAAGAAATCCAATAATTCCTGAAAATGAAAAGAACTAAAGAATTCAAAATTCCCAAAAATCTAAGAAATCCAAAAATAAAAAAAAAATCGAAATGATTTAAAACATAAAATATCCAAAACTCAAGAAACAAATCAAAGGAAATCCAAAAAAATCTAAAAAGATCCAAAAAATTACGAAATATCCGAAAGATCCGAAAAATCAAAAAAACCCAAGAAATGCAAAAGAGGAACTCAAAAACACAAGAAATGCATTGATGCAAGAAATTCTAAAAAATCCAAAAAATCAAACAATTAAAAAAATCCAAATATGCAGGAAACCCAAGAATTCCAATAATTTAAAAATTTCAAAAAGTCAAAGATTTAAAAAATCCAAAAAAACCCAAGAAACTCAAAAAACTTCAGAAATCCAATATTTGCAAAAATCTAAAAAATGGAAACTAGTTCAGAAATAAAAAATCCAGAAAATTAGAAAAAAAAATTAAAATTAAAAATTGTTATCCAAGAGACCGAAGAAATAAAACAAATCCAAATAAAATCGGGAAAAAATCAAAACAATCAAAAAATTCCAAAAAAATCCTAAAAAAACAAAAAAAACTAAGAAATCCAATAATTCCTGAAAAACTAAAGAATTCAAAATTCCAAAAAACTTAAGAAATCCAAAAATTAAAAAAAAGCGAAATAATTTAAAAAATCTAAAAATATCCAAAACTCAAGAAACAAATCTTGTTTAAGGTGAAGAAAATCCAAAAAAATCCAAAAAGATAAAAAAAATTACGAAATATCCGAAAAATAAAAAAGCCAAGAAATGCAAAAAAGAAACCGAAAAACAAGAAATCCAATGATGCAAAAAAAAATTAAAATTGTTATCGAAGACATCGAAAAAAATTAATAAATTAAAAAAAAATCGGAAAATATCAAAACAATTCCAACCAAACCGAAAAAATCCAATCATTCCAAATAAATGAAAAAATTACAAAATCCAAAATTCCAAAAAATCTCAAAAATCCAAAAATTAAAAAAAATTGAAATAATTTTAAAAATCCAAAAATATCCAAAACTCAAGAGACAAATCTTATTTAAGGTGAAAAAATCCAAAAGTTCTAAAAAATTACGAAATATGCAAGAGATCCGAAAAATCAAAAAAACCAAGAAACCCAAAAACACAAGAAATCCAAGAAATTTTAAAAAATCCAAAAAATCAAAGAATTTAAAAAATCCAAAAAATACGAGAAATTCCAATTCCATAATCCAAAAAATTTAAAATAACCAGAAAATTCAAAAAGTTGAAGATTTTAAAAAAAATCAAAAAAAAAAGAAACTCAAAAAACTGCAGAAATATAATATTTCCGAAAATCTAAAAATGGAAAAAGTAAATGAAACCAAAAAAAATCGGGAAAAACCCAAAACAATAAAAAGTTCCATAAAAGTCCTAAAAACCATAAAAGTCCAAAAAAACGGAGAAACCAATAATTCCAAAAAATGAAACGAACTAGAAATCGAAATAATTTAAAAAATCCAAAAATATCCGAAACTCAAGAATCAAATCCCATTTAAGGTGAAGAAAATCCAAAAAGATCACAAGAACACAAGAAATTTAATAATCCAAAAATTTAAAATATTAAAAAAATTATAAAAATCAATGATCTAAAAAAAATCCAAAAAACCCAAGAACTCAAAATTAGCCAAGCCGGCATATTGTTTTAGGGTTTTGTTTATAGGGATTTTCAGACAGGGCTTTATTATGTTTTTTAAAACCACAACCGTTTTTCCCTCTCAGTAATTTATTAACGAGAGTGATACACTATCGGTTGGCACCACTGCTAGATTAACTGTTTGACAGTTCGTGTTTTATACATATAAGAAACAAATCAAGTTAAAATTGTAGATGTTTATTGTGTTCCACATTTTGAGTATTTTTACAAAGTTAAAAAATAATTTATGTAAAAAAATGTATAAAAAATTAAGTCTCATTTTAGTCACAAATAAATTCACATATAAAACATCACATTAGTAACGGTTAAATTCGTTATAATTCGTCATGGTTAATATCGTCGTTGAGATCCACATCAGCTACAAGCTTTACAAATTCTGGGTGACTTTTTACGTGTTGTGCCGCTTTACCCACAAGCCGGACAAACTCTTTGACGTCGAAAACATAGTTTGCGAACTTTGCATGGGCCCCTCCATCATGGGTTCCCTGAAACGTCATTTCATTTCTAACATAGTAAGTGTTGCCAACATAATTTTTTAACATTAAATTTCAAAGCCTACTAGACATTTTTTTTCAATTTGTTTGCCGTCATTAAATTAAATCAAATTAAATTAGTAGAACGTAAATTAAACCACTTACATCCTCCTCTGACTGCAACTTATCAAACTTCTCCCACGTGACGTACTTCACGCCCCTCAGCCGCGCCAAATCCAAATAACAATTATGATCCTCGCAATTATACCTAAAATTGGCCCCAATTAAATTAAATTAAAGCCTCTCGTGCACCTACAATTCAAACACAGCCCCCCAATCTGGTAAAAACATCAAATGGGTCAACCCAGCCCCGTGTATCCCAATCAACACATCCGAATTCCTGGTAATCTCCATCTGCTTCTTAAACCCAATCTCCCTATTGTAAACAACCTTCTCCACTTCATAATTCGGGTTTTCGGCGATGGCCTCCACGAGTTCGTTCTCGTTCAAAATTCTCCTGTATTTAGTGTCTCTAGCCAGAAGCGTGATCCTAATTTTTTTATTCTCCCTAGTGTGAAACGGGATTTTGAGCCTGTGTAAAACGTGCTCCGAAAAAGCGTGGAATAAACCGCTATTTTCGCACCCGTAGATGATGGGAGTGTTGTAATACAACCCGAAAATCATCCGCGGGAGAAGCGGGAAAACCACGTTTTTGAAACAAACCGTTTCGCCTCTGAACGTCTTCAGGTCCCATATGGGGTGATCCGTGAAGGCTTCCCACGCGTCCTGGAAAGCCGACCGGTACGTGTAGCTTTCCCAGACTAGAATGTGTACGTCGGTGGAGAAAGTGTCCCATTGGGTGGCATTGACGTGAAGCGACGCATACAAGTTGAAAAAATCGCAAAAATGGTGGTACATATTGACTGCTAAAACAGGAAGACGTTATTTTAGGTTAGGTCTGAAGGGGGTACCTACTGGCGTCTATTTTCATAATGAAAGTCGGTTTTTCGATGACTACGTCACAGTCGCCCTCTATTATAGGTCTGCGGGTTAATCTACTGAAGTAGCGCATTTCCGGGCCCCAACTCTGCAACGGACTAATATGATCCGCTTGCTCTTCTAATTCTTTGTGTTTAAAATCGCAATAACCCCCGATTTGGCCTTGTTTCAAAACGTCCATTTTATACCGAATGGGGTCCTCGCGCGTCCGCAAGTCAGTAAAATTCAACATGAGATTGCGCCCCCGACAGAACCTCAAGTGTTCTGAACACTCCAGCGAACTATCATCGGCGAAAAGGGGCTCACACAGCAATTTCATCTCTCGTATTTGTTGCTTAATGAAGCCGAAATCCGCCTGAGTGTAAAAGGTGCCGATTTGGTCGGCTTTGGTCCTGACCCAGCCCTTATGGTCACCGGGACACCGGGGGCTGGAGTAACGACGCTCTTCGTCGCAGTCGTACTCGTAGCCCCAGCACTTCTTCGTTTCAAGAGACGACTGAAAGGGGCACTCCGGGTCGGACGCGCATTTTTGAGCGATTTTCGGAAAGCTTGAAAAGTAGTACGGTAAATGGCCATCTGGGAGGTTAATACTGGTGTAATTATCACAATTCGTTTGGGCTAGAGATAAGAGCAGGATTAAGACGAACATGGTCACTTAACGAGTGCTAATAAGGCGTCAGGATTCATTAGGAGGCAAAAGTTTGGGGCACATTGAGGTTAGTGAAAGTGGGGTTACGTCATTGACAGATGACGGCTGTTTGCCGCGGGGTGCAGGGGCACCAACTTTACAACCAAACAAAACTAGTAAATATTTGTATTTTAGTACATATTTGAGTGACCCAGCGGTTTATATCTTCATTATTAATACCATTGTTTAAGTATATTATAGTTGGACAACCTATACGGACAAGCACTTTCCCATGTAGAAAAGAATGAATATATATTTTACATCTCACTCGTTTCACCATGGCCGACTCCATTAATCTCTAAAGAGATATGGCCGTTCCAATCGGCATTTACAAATTGGCTATCCAAACAATTGAAAAGTTCTCTAAAGTGGTGCCATCTGACAATGGAAATGTTAAAAAAATACAACCCCGATCGAGTTGTCATTAAATTTTGACAATTTGTAATTTAATAACGTCAAATAAATTCAGATCAGGAATGTTTATAACAGAACTAATTTTATTATACCAAATGGAATAAATAAAAATAGCAATGGAAAATTCTAATCATATTAATGTAAGTAGATATACCTGAATACCTATGCACTAAATAATAACAAAAAGAAAATTACAACTTTAGAACCTTTTTGCTGACTGGTTTGTGCTGCAACAGTTTTGTCTTGACCACTGACTAATCAATCTGTGGTTTCAAGACATATGTTGTCCAAAACAGGTTTTACAGTTGTTGTTACAACAAATTTACATACTAAACGTTTATGTTTTTCACATTTAAATAGAGGGTTCTTCTCTAGGTGAGGAAATATTATGTTCAGCAACTGTTCACAAGCTCTTTCAAATTTTAAAAGTGGAAAAATTTTCAATGCAATGTCCGATATTTGTTTCACAACCCCTACAAAACGAAAATTCGGATAAGTTAGTCCCCCACGATCTTGTAAAAAAATTAATTTTAAGAGAGGTCCAGGAAGTTCAAATGATAATAGCGGAGAAAGACAATCATCACAGTGAAATTTGTCATCTAATTTTTTTATAATGTACCCTGCTAAAAAGGGACAGTAGCGGAATAAATTTCTGCATGTTGTTCAATATTCTTACACAAATTGATTCTTAAATATTTGTCACCTGGAAATCCAAAGAAAGGTTTAGTACTGTTCCCACATAAATAACATTTCTTCATGTCTGACGATTTATTTGCAATTACCGCTCAAATTAGGATAAAACATCAATGTCAGTCAATAAAGAAATCTGTAATTAAAAATTAATATGCGTAAGGACCACCAGAGTCCGCCAGTTTAGGGTCACTTCATGGCATACTTGCTGTACTTGCCAAAAAATGCCGAATGGAACGGCCATATCTCTTTAGAGATTAATGGAGTCGGCCATGGTTTCACTATGAAGTGGCGGTACCTTACGAAAGGGGGTAAAAATAGTCAGCAAGCACGTGATGTCGATAAGGTAGTAAACGGACGTATTAATCAGTACGTTGTACGGGGAGCAGTCACAAAATAAGCAAACGTACGTGTGGAAGACTACATATATGTAATATGTATATGTAGTGCATACCTGTTTCATTGCCTCCAGAATAACTATGGGTTATCATCAAACTATGCACACCAAATTAATTCAATATTAACAGTTGTCAAATCATTAAATACATATTATCTTTGAAACTAGAATGCATTTTATTACAAAATATTTATCACCATTTAAATATATACGATTTAACATCAAGAAATAAATTTAATATCTCAAAAATTAAATGTAGCAGACTTAAAACAGCCTTAAATGCGTCTTGTATGTACGTGCTTATCAGTATGTAGGCATTTTAACGCACAGCAATAATAATCGTTCTTGATGAGTACTGACTGATGACTACTGCAACACAGTAAATACTTGAAATTGAAAATTTAAAACATTGAAAAATTCAAATATGGGAAAATTGTAAAATCGAGAAATCGAAACATAAAAAAATCAAAAAAATAAAAATTGGAAAATCTAAAATTTAAAAATCAAGAAATGGAACAATCGGTTAATTCAAAAATCGAAACATCGAAAAATTGGAAAATCGAAAAATAAAAAAAAATTGGACAATCGAAAATTTAAAAATTCCGAAAATTGAAAAATTGAAATATATAAGAACTGAAAACTCAAAAAATCGAAAAAAATTAATAATTCAAAAATTGAAAATTTAAAATTGAGAAATCGAAAAACTGAGAAATCACAAAATTGAACGAAATATCCAAAAATTAGGAAATTAAAAATTGAGAAACAGAAAAGTCCAAAAAGCAGAGTCCAAAAATCGCAAACTTAAAAAATCGAAAAATTGAAGAACTGAAGAACTGAAAAATCGAAACTTTAAGAAGTGAAAGTGGTAATATAAAAAAATAGATTAATTGAGAAATCCGAAAACTAAAAATTCAGAAACGTCAAAATTTGAAAAATAAAAATACATTGAAGAACTGAAAAATCGAAAAATCTAAAATTTAAAACACTGAAAAGTTAAAATATCCTAAAACTGAAAATGGAGAAATCCAAACATCAAAAAATCAAAAAAATAAAAATTCGAAAATCTAAAATTTAAAAATCGAAAAACTGAAAAATCAACGAATGGAAAAGTCGAAGATTTAAAAAATTGGAAAATTGAAAAATCGGATAAATCAAAAATCGAAACATGGAAAAATCGAGAAACCGAAAAGCAAAAAATCGAAATACCAACAAATCGAAAAATCAAAAGACCAAAAAACGAGGAGTCGAAAAATCAAAACATTGAGAAACCAAAATAGGCCAAAATCGAAAAATCGAAAACATAAAAATGGAAAAATTGATAAAGCGAGAGTTTGAATAATAAAAACATCGAAACATCCGAATCTTAATAAATTGAGATCTCAAAAAATTTAAAAATTCGGAAATTTGAAGAATTAAAATATAGAACTGGAAACTCGAGAAACCGAAAAATCTAGAAATGTAAAAATTAAAATATGGAAAAGTTGAAAAATTGAGAAATTGAAGTATAAAACAGTCGAAAAATTGAAAAATCTAAAGTATAATAAACAAAAAACTGAAAATCCAAAAATAAAAAATAGAAAAATCTAGAAGTCGAAAAATCAAAGAATCGAAGTATTGAAAAATATCAAGACTGAAAGAAATATCCAAAAAATTGAGAAATCGAAAAACCAATAAAGCGAAGTCGAAAAATCGAAGAATTGAAGAACTGAAAAATCGAAACTTTGAGAAGTGGAAAAATCAACAATAGATTAATTGAGAAATCAGAAAACTGAAAATTTAACGCAAAAATTTGAAAAATTTAAAATTTAAAACATTGAATAATTAAAATATCGCAAAATTGAAGAATCGAGAAATCCAATTCAATTTGAAAAATTGAAAAATTGGAAAATCCAGAAATTGAAAAGCTCAAAAGAAAAACATCGAAAAACCGAGAAATTAAAAAATCGAAACATCGAAAAATTCAAAAACTGAGACTTCGAAAAATCGGAGGATCGAGAAATTGAGTCGGAAGCCGAAAAGGAAAGTTAAAAATTGAAAAATTGAGAAATTGAACAGTCAAAACAACGAAACATCTGAATTCCATAAATTGAGAAATTAAAAAATTGAATAATCGAAAAATTTTAGAAAAGAAAAACTGGAAAATCGAAAATTAAAATTAAAAAAATCGAAAAATCGAAAAATTGAAATATAGAAGAATTGAACACTCGAGATATCGAAAAACCTAGAATTTTAAAAAATGAAATATTAAAACATCGAAACGTTGAAAAATTGAGAAATCGAAGCATTAAACAGTCGCAGAATTGAAAAATCTAAAGTTTACAGTAAATTGAAGATCCAAAAAGTAAAAAATCGAGAAATCAAAAAAAATCCATCAATTCAAAAATCGAAAAGTCGAAAAATTGAAATATTTAAAACCGTAAAATTGAAGAGTACAAAAATTGAGAAATTGTGTCATTGAAACACCGAAAGATTGAGAAATCGAAAAATAAAAAAATCGAGAAACAGAAAATTTGAAGAACGGAAGAATCGGAAAAGCCCAAAATTGAAATATTGAAAAATTGAGACATTTAAAGTTGAAAAATCGAGAAATCGACAAGCCAAAAAATCCCAATAGCGTATTTATAAATAACAAGATCAGGACTATGCTACTTTTTAAAATTTAAATAACATTATAAATTGGAAAATGTTGATTTTTTTTCCAAAAATCTTGACGTCTAAGGTGAAAACTCGACACGGATGCATAAACCGCAAACGGGGTATATATTGTAAAATTTGGAGATTGCGTCATTTCATTGTTCGTGACAAATTTTGGTGAGTGTTTTACCATTTGATAATACAATTTGAAATGTAAATTTTGTCATTCAGGAACATTATGTATTAAATCGTTAAGATGTTCAAGAACCTTGTTCACTTATTCGTTGTAAACTCCAATGGTCGAAATGGGTTAGTTCTTCGTAGTGGATGTGTATCAGATCAACTCTAACGAATGTCGGCTTATAGATAAATCCCTTAAAGCCGATATTGGCCTGAGTGTGCTTTGGTCTGTAGATCAAACAAGTTCCAGGCGACAAAAAGTTGCATGTGGAGGGAGACTTCGGATTACAAATCGTGCCAAGAAAGACATATTTGGGAGAGATGGATTTTCAGATGCGGGACTAGCGGTTATTTTAAATTGTTTACTGTCGTTCGCGAAGTGAAGAACACAATTTCAATAAAATGATAATTATAAAATCATCATAATCACTATTGATATTAAAGAACACAAAATGGCGCGCAAGTTATCAGTTGATTTCATTAATAAATTCATAGAAACCTATATGGGATTTTTTCATGCCATAGAAAATTAAAAAGTAAAAAATACAATAACAAAAATTTTAAAATTCGGTTTACGAAAAATTAGTTGACCTGTGCAAAGAAGAAAATTTTAGAAACGCTGACAAATATTACATCTTAAAAAAAATAACACTTGAAGAAATGCTTTCGGTGTAGTATTTTTGTTGCTCGCGTGAACAAAATACTTTATGTCAGTGTGCAGTGCGCAAAGAGTTAACTGTGCAGAATGCAGATCTAACCGAAAATCCGAAAACCAGATCGCTGTGTGTAGGGCCAGCATAACGGAAGTAATAAATCATCCCATCGGTTGAAGAACGTTGGGTCGGTGCACTGATGTCGGTGTTATATCCCGAAAGGGGCCCAATACACCCAATAAAATCGAACAGACTAAATAAAGCTTCAAACTTGATTATTTTTATACTAAAATTCTGAAGTTTATAAACTGCACATTTTATTTATTTATTTATTTTATCTTGTTTTCGAACTATAATAAACATTTCAAACAATGTCTGTAACTTATATTCATGTGGTTAACAAAATCAGATGTAATATTAGTGTGATTTTGACCCTATTCTAGATTTTATTACAGCAGAACGGCGTATCATTTTTAAATTTTACAAGTTACGGAAACTAGTTCAAGAAACAAATAGTTATCTCGTATTTTTGGAACAAAATCTACCAAAACGTCGGATAACAGCAATTGTTTTTCATAGAAACAAACAGTCTTCAAAGCAACCTTTAACAACTCGATATTACAAACATGCCTCTTAAGTTCTTAATGCGTTTTTTTTTCTGTCTTGTAATTATTTGTAATGTTAACGACGAAAGTTTATGTTGTTCTGTTATTTACTTTGAATATATATTTTCATTTTGTGTTAATATTTTTATAACGCCACGAATCTAAATTTTACTTAAAATCTTGTTTTACTTTAATCTTGTAAACTAAACAATTATACCAGTTTAAAAACCCTTGGAAAGTATGGAAAGTTTCTGTCAGTCTTCAAATATAGTCAAATAAAAATAGGCGTCAAATTCATTTAAATACAATTCTTTCGTATCACGTTACAACGCGTTGCTTCATATTTTTTATGTCAAGTACATTTTCATATTTTGTACATATATGTTTATACACATTACTGTTTACGGAACAATGTTAATTATGGGATTTATGGATAACTCCTCGTATAGGAGCAGAGTGAAGGGTGTTTGCCTTTGCTAATGTTTGATGGCGCCATCTGATGTAGAGTAAAATAAACCTAATACGTTCGCTCACTGTAGTGAAAATGCGCGTTGACGAAAAATTTGTCCCACGCCCCCTGGATTCCTTGTCCTAAAGCTCACTATCCCTGGCTCACTATTTAGGCGAAATAAAATTTGTATTAGGTTGTCCAACTATAATATACTTAAACAATGTTAATACTTAGAATACTTGTATTTATTTGATTACTATTATGTTATAAGCGGCTTATGTTTGCGAAAACTGACTTTTCCCGTGTTCATGTGTCACTTGTCAGTTGTCATTGTCCAACTGCGTTCAGCTACCGTGTTCATACTATCTATAATCGGGGATAATTATTATCAAACAAACAGCTAACTCGCTCTCCACCGTGCAATTACTCAAAATATCAGTATATTTCCCCCCGACACACACATCTGGTTAAAATCTTCACTTCGTATCAAAATCATTTTCCGCCCCTTTTTGTTTAACTGAGGGTTTATTCACCCCGTTCGTGCCTCCACCCCACTCGATCTCACGCAACCGCCACAAGCCCACCCTCCGCGCCTGGTACCGAAAGTGACGTTTTTCAATAAAACACTGCGTGTCTCAAATCCGTTTATTCTCCCAAAAGCCTCAGTATGGTGGACGACAAAGTCGAGATGAACAACGACACCGAATCCTTCACCTCCGCCAACACCAACGACCCGAAGAACGTACAAGAATTAACCCAATACGTAAGTGACATAACCTCAAACGTCACCCTCTTATTCCGCCGATTTCCAGGTCCAGGGGCTGCTGCAGACCATCCAGGACAAGTTCCAGAACATGTCGGACCAAATCTTGACCCGAATCGACGAAATGGGCAACAGGATCGACGATTTGGAGAAGAACATCGGAGATCTGATGACTCAAGCTGGAGTGGAAGGGGCTGAGAAATGAAGCTCTTGTAGCGATAAGTCTTAAGTTATAATGCGATTTTGTTAATAAATTATTAGTAGTAGGAGAGTTATTTGCGCTTGCGGGGTTTGATGGGGGACGAGGGCTCCTCTGGGTCGCTCAAGTTTTCGGAGATGTTGGTGTCGCTGAGGCTGTCTTCGGTTTCCGAGATGCTTTGTTTCATGGAGTCGAGGGTTTCTTGGCTTTTGGAGCGGCTGCGGGGGATTCCGTCGGGCTTTTTGGGGTTGGATGAGAATAGAGCGCCCAAGGAACCCAAGGAGTTGGCTGAGCGGAATAAACTGCGAGATCTGGAACCTCTGGAGGCGTCGGGGTGTCGCAGGGACCTTTTAAACTCCTGAAATTACTTAGCTTAGGGTATATAAACAAAACAAAGCAGTGGGTTACCGAGTCCACTTTTCTGCTTATTTTTTGAAAGTCCTAGTAAAGAGTGGTTATTGAAGGTGTTGGGGTAAGTTTGAAGCCTTACCTGTAAGTCGGCCTCTTCGTCGATCGAACTTACGGCCTTGTAGGCGTTCGTGAGGACTTCGAGAGCTTTGGCGTGGTACCCCATTTCAGTGCTAACAAAATCAAGCAAGATCGATTTTACATCGTGAAGCTTTTGCTTCTCAAACTCTGTACTTTTCTCTTCTAGGTTGTGCAAAGTTTTTGAGAATTCGGCGCTTGCCTTGACGAGTTCGGTCTCCGCTTGTATCTTAAAAAAATATATATTCATGTTTGATTATGCTGTGCAACAATATTCCAATTTGATGCGACTTTCTCTCTTATTGAAAGAAGCATAAGGGTGAAAGTTGCATCAATCGTGTTTTATTACAATTTGTTGCCGATTTCGTGGATTTCGTTCTTTAATCCTCTCCAGTTGTCTCTTCCTGGCGATTTCTTTTTCTCTAGCGTTGTAAATCTGCTTAACTTCGTCTTTTGCGTGCTTGCAGATGTCTTCATACCTTCCAAACTCTTTGATGACTTTGGTTTCTATATTTTGGACTCTCAAGTCGCCGTAGGAGCTCAAAAGCGATATGCAGTCTGCGAAATTTTCCAGGGCCAGACTCAGGGATTTGTTTATGTTTTCGGTTTCGGCGTGTTCGAGAGTGATTTTGGCGATTTCGTCGCCCTTGTCCCTTAAACGGGCCGCTTTTCGGGAATATTGGGCGAAAACGTGGCATAATTCGGCGACGGTTCGCTCCACGGAGACGATACGGTCCTGGACGAATTTGGCTTCTTGTTCGCTAACAAAAAAATCATTCAAATAAACGTTCTTATGAGACCGTACGATTCTAAAAAAGAACGTTCAGAATGCGACCGACTCTGTACTTTTACGTTTTCTGGACCTTTCATGACCCCTAGAGTACGAAGAAATAGGTCTCCCGTTTCCGTCTGTCTGTCTGTCTGCCGTCCTGATTTTTATTAGAGAGATAATCTCCGAAAGTACAAGAGCAACATGGAAAAAATCCTGCCTTACAATTTTTCAAAATTTCAGCTTAAATAAACTTGTTCTTTTTGTTAAAAATTTAAAAGTGCAAAAATGAGAACTTGATTATTTAAGATCTAAAATTTGGAAAGACTAAAAATTGAAAACTGAAAATTGCAGATCAAAAAATTGAAGACATAAAAATTTGAATCATCGTTTAATCCAACTAAAGGAAAATTTAAATATCTACAAATTGCAAAATTGTAAAATCAAAAATCTGTAAAATTGAATAATTCTAAATCGAGAAAGATAAAAATCCAAGTAACCATGAAATCGAAAAATTGAGAAATTCATGAGTTAATAAATAGAAATGGAGTGAACCGTTCCTGATTTAATCAATAAAATAAACTGACACATTCATAATTATTTTGAGCCACCTGTATAAAAAAAAAATCTAAAAATATCAATCCAATCACAAGTAAAAATTTACTATAGAAATTTGCAGTTTAACACCTTTAAATTTCACAAGTTTTTACAAGATTAATAGGGGCAAAATCCGTTTTATCTTAACAAGTACAAGGACCGCCCACCCGCCCCCTATTTTCTCAGAAGATGTCATTTGCCAAAATGAGTCTTATCTTAGCAAGTACTAGCCCCGCCCATCCACCCTTTACTTTCTTATAGGATATGTCATTTGCCAAAATCAGTCTTATCTTACCAGGTTCTAGCCCCACCCACCCACCCTCTCTTTTCTTAGAGGATATGTCATTTACCAAAATCAGTCTTATCTTACCAAATACTAGCCCCGCCCACCCGCCCTTTATTTCCTCAGAGGGTAGTACTTGCTAGTACTTGCTAAGATAAGTCTTATTTTGGTAAATGACAGACAGCAGAAATTATAATTTATGACTTTTTCAAATATTCGATTTTTCAATTTCCCGAGTTTTCGATTTCTTGATTTTTCCATTTCTCTGTTGTCCAACTTTACAATCTTTAAAATTTTTAGATTTCTCGATTTTTCAGTTCCATGTTTGTGTTTTTCAATTTTTCGAATTTTTGGAATTTTCGATTTTTCAGTTTTTTGATGTTTCGATTTCTCGATCTTTTGACATGTTGATTTTTCGATTTGTCGACCTTTCTATTTTTCGATTTTCTGATGTTTTGAGATCTCGATTTTTCAATTTTTCAAATTTTAGATTTTCCGATTTCTCAATCTTTCAATTTTTCAGTTCTTAAACTTTTCTATTTTTCGATTTTTCGAATTTTAAAATTTTTGATTTTTCCATTTTTTTTTTCTACATTTCACATTTTTCGATTAAGATTTTTCATTTTCCGATTTTTAATGTTTCAATTTCGTGCCATCCCTGTTCGATGTTTAAAGTTTTTCGACTTATCGATTTTTAGATTTCTCGATTTTTATAGTTTTCGAGTTCTTAGTTTTCGCATTTTTCAATTTTTCAATATTTTAATTTTTGGCTTTTTCAATGTTTCCATTTCGACTTTTCGGATTTCAATTTTTGGGTGTTTCAATTCCTCGATTCTTCAAATTTTCGATTTCTCAATTTTCCGATGTTTCAGTCTTCGGATTTTTCAATTTTTCGAAATCGTTAAATTTTCGATTTCTCGATTTCTCCATTTTCCGATGTTTCAGTTTCTCAATTTCACGATTAATCAGTTTCCCGACTTTCCAGTGTCTCGATTTGTTAAATTCTCCATTTCTCAGTCTTTTGATGCTTCAGTTTTGGGAATTTTCAACTTTTCGATATTTTAATTTTTCGATTTTTGAATTTTTGACTTTTCGAATTCTAGATTTTTGAATTTTTCAGTTCGATAGTTCGATTTTCAGACTTCTCGGTTTTAGAATTTTCAGTTTTGCAATTTTTCGATTTTTTTTAACTTAAAATTTTTCTATTTTTAAATCTCTTCGTGTTTCGATTTCTCGGATTTACGTGTTTTCGACTTTTCGGATCTTCGATTTGTCCGATTTTTTAGTTCTTCAATTTTTAAATTTTTCGATTTTTCAATTTCCGATGAATCGATTCTTTGATTTTTCAGTTTTTTGATGTTTCGATTTCTCGATCTTTTGACATGTTGATTTTTCGATTTGTCGACTTTTCTATTTTTCGATTTTCTGATGTTTCGAGATCTCGATTTTTCAATTTTTCGGATTTTTAGCTTTGATTTTTTAGTTTTTCGATTTTTTTTCTAAATTTCACATTTTTGATTTTACGATTTTTTAGTGTTTATCTTACCAAATACTAGCCCCGCCCACCCGCCCTTAATTTCCTCAGAGGGTAGTACTGGCTAGTACTTGCTAAGGTAAGTCTTATTTTGGCAAATGACAGACAACAGAAATTATAATGTACGACTTTTTTCAAATTTTCGATTTTTCAATTTCCCAACTTTTCGATTTCTTGATTTTTCCATTTTTGGATTGTCCAACTTTACAGTCTTAAAAATTTTTAAATTTCTCGATTTTTCAGTCCGATGTATGGTTTTTCAATTTTTCGAATTTTTGAATTTTCGATTTTTCAGCTTTTTGATGTTTCGGTTGACTTCTCGGTTTTTTGATTTGTCGACTTTTCTATTTTTCGATTTTCTGATGTTTTGAGATCTCCATTTTCCAAGTTTTCTAATTTTATATTTTCCGATTTCTCAATCTTTCCATTTTTCAGTTTTTAAACTTTTCTATTTTTCAATTTTTCGAATTTTTAAACTCTTGATTTTTCGTTTTTTCCCCAAATTTCACATTTTTCGATTCGGATTTTTGATTTTACGATTTTTTAATGTTTCGATTTCGTGCCATTCCGGTTTAAAGATTTTCGACTTATCGATTTTTAGATTTCTCGATTTTTCTAGGTTTCGCATTTTTCAATATTTTAATTTTTGACTTTTTCGATGTTTCAATTTCGACTTTTCGGATTTCAATTTTTGGGTTTTTCAATCTTTCGATAACAACGTTTTACAATTTAAGTTTAAAATTACAAAATCTATTTTAAGTTACGAATTTTCGATTTTCTCGTTTTTCGATTTCTCGATTCTTCAAATTTTCGATTTTTCAAATTTTTTTGTTTTTCGATTTCTCAATTCTTTGGTGTTTCGGCTTCTCAATTTTACGGTAAATTGATTTCTCGACTTTCCAATGTTTTGATGTTTCAATTTTTCGAGTTTTTAAATTACCGATTTGTCAGTTTTTTGATGCTTGTTTTGGGATTTTTCGAAATCTCAATTGTTGAATGTTCCAGTTCGATTTTTCGACTTTTCAGTTTCCGATTTTTCAATTTTACGATGTTTCAGTTTCTCAATTTTCCGATTAATCGATTTCCCGACTTTTCCGTGTTTCGATTTTAAAAATTCTCGATTCCTCAGTTTTGACTTTCATTTTTCCATTTTTGAAATTTTGATTTTTCGAATTCTAGATTTTTTAATTTTTCAGTTTTGATAGTTCGTTTTTCCAACTTCTCGGTTTTAGAATTTTCAGTTTTTAAATTTTTCGATTTTTTTTTAACTTAAAAGTTTTCAATTTTCAACTTTTCGATTTTTTGATGTTTCGATTTCTCGGATGTACGATTTTTCGGATCTTCGATTTTTTCGAAATTTTATCGATTTCTCGACCTTTTTATTTTTTAGTTTTTACAATTTATAAATTTTTCGATTTTTCAATTTCCGATTAATTCGATATATTAATTTTTAATCTTTAAAATTTTTGATTTTTAGAATACTCGTTTTGTCACTTCGATGTTTCTGTTTTTGTTATCGATTTTTAGATTTCTCGATTTTTCAAGTTTTCGAATTCCTAGTTTTTCAAAACTTCAATTTTGGCAACTGTTCAATTTCCGCATTTTTCAATTTTTCAACTCATCGATGATCCGATGTTTCAGTCTTAGGATTTTTCAATTTTTCGAATCTTCAAATTTTCGATTTCTCGATTTCTCCATTTTCCGATGTTTCAGTTTCTCAATTTCACGATTAATCAATTTCCCGACCTTCCAGTGTTTCGATTTGTTAAATTCTCGATTTCTGTTTTTTGATGTTTCAGTTTTGGGAATTTTCGACTTTCGGATATTTTAATTTTTCCATTTTTGAATTTTTGATTTTTCGAATTCTAGATTTTCGAGTTTTTCAGTTCGATAGTTCGATTTTCCGACTTCTCCGTTTTAGAATTTTCAGTTTTGCAATTTTTCGATTTTTTTTTTTACTTAAAATTTTTAAATTTTTAATTTTCAACTTTTCGATCTCTTCATGTTTCGATTTCTCGGATTTACGTTTTTTCGACTTTTCGGATCTTCGATTTGTCCGATTTTTTAGTTCTTCAATTTTAAAATTTATCGATTTTTCAATTTCCGATGAATCGATTCTTTGATTTTGCAATTTTTCGATTTTCCGATTCAAAATTTTTTGATATTTTATTTTTTAGTTGTTAAAATTTATGATTTTTCGATTTTTTTCTAAAGTTCGAATTTTTGATTTTACGATTTTTTAATGTTTCAATATTTTGCCATCCTCATTGTTCGATGTTTCAGTTTTTTCGAATTATTGACTTTTCAAGTTTTCGATTTCTTAGTTTTTTCAAAATTTCAATTTTGATAACTCTTCAATTTTCGGATTTTTCAATTTTTCAATATTTTAATTTGACTTTTTCGATGTTTCGATTTCGACTTTTCGGATTTCAATTGTTGGGTTTTTCAATTTCTCGAATTATCAACTTCTCGATTCTTCAAATTTTCCAATGTTGTAGTTTTTCGATTTTTCAAATTTTAGAATTTTCTATTTCTCGATTTTACGGTTCTTAAATATTTCTTTTTTTTTCAATTTTTC